CCCCCCCCCCCGCAATAATATTACACACAAAATATGTTAATATCCTAAAGAATTTGGAATAACTTGGACTCTCCCAGATTTAATCTTTAAGACTGCAAATAACATTAACTTTAAATTTCCACTTGGCTGCAAATACTTGTACATATTTCATGGTCTATTATCACTTCCAGCATAATAGAATTAACACGCCTTAATTATCTTGACACTAATACTAATTGCTTTTCCGCCTCGTTTATAAAATACCTTGTAAATATTACTAAATCACTCATGAGCAGAAAACGTTTCAAGATTTTAGAGCCCCGATATCCTATAATATCGAGAAAGGAACTGACACAGACTGTTGTTCCTGAAATTTTTTCCGATATAAAACAAAAAGTAAAACTTTCGCTAGAGGGCTCGAAAAATTGGGTGAACTTTACTACGGACATGTGGAAGTGCGAGGGCCTGAACCGCGAATACATGACAGTAACCACTCACTGGGCTGTAGAAAACGACAAGCAGAAATCTTTCGAGATAAAGAATGCTCTGTTAGAAGTAGAGGAATTCTCGGACAGTGCGCACACATACAACATCAGAAAAGCTGTAAGTGCCTCAAAATACAGACTATATATTGATAATTTGAAATATCATAAATCCGCATATTGCTGTATTATAATTATATTTTAATTTTTTTAAATTTAGTTGCGACTGGGTGTGTCAAAAGTGGATCAGCAAATCAAAATTTCATTTAGGTGTGTCTGACAACGCATCCAATGTAACACTTGCCCTAAAGAGTGACACAGATCTTGAAGCGCCAGATGATCTTCTTGCCCGAGCAATGGCTGAGCCCGAGGAGTTTGACGATGCTAATGATGATGAAGACCAGTTCCCACCACTAGCACCCATGCATGAAGGATCGGCAGGATGTTTCGCACATTTGCTAAACCTTATAGTTGAAGTAGGTACGAAGTACACATTCTTCTACAGTTTTCCATGAATTCACATTAGGAATTGTTAAATGATGTTATGCACTTTTGCTCATATCGGTCATATGCTGCATTGTGCTTGGCTTATACATGCATGTATAGTAAATATGCTGTTATATAATCAATATTATTAAAAATCATTTATATTTGTATAGGACGCACTTCAACCACATGTTCAGCGTGCTGTCACCGATGCAAAAACTCACTGCGAGCAAATTGTAACAAAAACAAAATAAATATAAAAACAAATGCATGCTTGTTTGTTTGTTTGTTTGTATAAATGTTTATACAGGAAGATCTGATTTAGCATAGATACAGCTACAGAGACACAGAATCCTGTCTGACTAGCTTTATTGTTCCCATTTCCCAATATCATGATGTCATGATTTAGAATTAAATTTGAATCATTTGGTTGATTGATTGAAACTTAATAGAATTTAATCTATTATTATCTTAGACAATCAATGCCGGTTGCTCGAGCGTTCAGAGAGGCCTAAGCTGGAATACCAATACCACCTGGTGAGACTGGTAATAAGATTGTTGGCCTTGTTAAGAATGTTACAACTCGCTGGAACTCATCTCTGGCCATGTTCAGGTAACATGTTTCCCGTAACAGATTGCTCACGCTCGTTGATTTGATTAACTCGAATCGAAAAAGCTTATAGCTGTGGGCTATTGAGTTCTAAACTTTTTTATAGGTTTATGAAACTGTTACTGTACTGATCATGATTGTCTGCTATTACCGTATTAGTGCTAGCATGCAATCTAACTTTTTTATCACAGATCATTTGTAAAAAATAAGGAAGTCCTTACCACATTTCTACGCCGAAGTCATGAGCTAAGTCTTCCGGTCTTACCAGCATCTTTGGGAAATCGGAGCAACTTTTGGAAAATCGTAGAAGGTCTTGTGAAAGTTCTTACTCCTTTCGAAGATGTAACCCTTCAAGTGAGCAAGGAGGAGGCAAGTTTGTCGGAGTGTATCCCTTATGCTCACACATTGGTAAGTAATATAACGAACATCGACACATTTGGGGTGCGGTTTTCCACTTTCCCAATTTGGTGGCGTGTGTGACCAAGTCAGTTAACTGTATATGGAAATAAAAACGCAAGTTTTATACAATTATGTTACTTTAAATACTTTTGTCTTGACTTACATTACATTTTTGTAGCTTCGATCCATAGAGAATCTTCACCACCCTACTGACGAGGTGCTACCAGTTACTGGACTGGAAACGTTTATAGCCATGTTAAAAGATGGAATAAAGAACCGGCTAATCAACAACCAAACCCTGACATTACAAATTTCTACCTTGTTAAATCCAAGGTATGTATATGGCAACGAATAGTTACAAATCGGCTTAATAGTATTGGGGTTGCCAGTTAATTCATATCATGGCATCATATCATGGCAAATAAATTTGCTCAATGTGCAGTTACTTAATAGCATGTTGAGTTTCTTTAAATTTATACATTTTTCTGTTTCAGATTCAAACTACGTCTTTTTGATGACGTTTGTCGTGACGTCGTCCGCGAGGCTGTTATTACAAGGCTGATCATGAATAGGGATACAACAGAGCCAGGTGACCAGGGTGATGTGGAAAACCCAGAAGAACGACCAGAAGCTTATGTGCCTACAAAAGGGTCACCACTAACAACGCTTACTGATATTGTAAGTGAACGTATGCAGAGCCAGGGGAGCAGAACTGTTGAACGGCAACAAGGATCACTGATGCCAGAACAAGAGCTAACAAACTACCTGTCTGAACCGGTGATACCAGTGAGATCTGAAGACGGTAAAGCCAATGCTCTTGATGTATTACATTATTGGTATCGCCACAAAGAATGGCCTGCTTTGACACGTTTAGCTCTATCGTTTCTTTCCTGTCCACTGTCTTCTGTCACTTCCGAGCGTGTCTTTTTGTTGACGGGGAACATCGTGTCGAAGAAACGTTGTGCGCTCCTTCCTGACAACATTGGACGATTGGCGTTCATTAAATTCAACAACAATAAGTTTTAAGAAACACCGACTTTGGCAATGTGTACTTGTATTTACTATTTTATTGTTTTGTTACTTTTGTACTTTTGTGGTTAGTGTACTAAATTCAGTATTTTAGTTTTATAAAGTTTACACAATTTCTGTTGCAAGATTTCTTTCACTTAATTCACCAAGAAAAGCCATGGTGTTGGTAACAAAATTAAGTTATCATATTGATATTCTGTATTATTCGGTTATAGACTTTGTCCTGCGAGTAGAACATATATATATATATATATATATGTGTTGCAAAATAGCTGGAGTTCAGAGCTATGATGTGACCGGAGCCGGAGATAAGAGCTATAATTTGGCCGGAGCCAGAGCTGAAAAACCGGAGTTTGCACAGCACTAATATGTTTTTACCTTTAATTACCCTTCCACGGAGAATAACATCACACACTGCTACTCTTATTGATAGCATATTTGCCAATCACTCAGATAACTATTCTCTTAGCGGCCTGTTACTCTCAGACATCTCTGATCATATGCCGATATTTTGTATAACTCGTGAACAATTTTCTGTGATGGACGAAGATGCATTCTTTGTCTTTCAGGACAAAAGTGTAGCAAATGTGTCCCGATTTTGCCACAACTTAAGTGAAATTAATTGGTATGACCTGGAAGGGTTCTGTGATCCCGAACATGCTTATGATATTTTTTTTAAATAAATATCATGAAATTTATAACAATTGTTTTCCATGTAAACGAGTTAAAAGTAAAAAATGTACTATGAGTAAACCATGGCTGTCAAGGGGACTTATTAAATCTATAAAGCGAAAGAGTAAATTATATAAGCGGTATTTAAATATTCCAAATTATGTTAATGAAGTATCTTACAAAAAATACAAAAACAAATTAAACCATTCTTTGAGAATTGCCAAACGGAATTATTATGACAAGCAATTAGATTATTTTAAGACAAACACTAAAAACACATGGAAGATTTTGAATGAAGTTATTAATAAAAAGAAACATGTTAGTAAATTATCGTCAACATTTATTTTTGATAATCAGGAAATATCTTGTCCATTTACAGTTGCTGATCATTTTACTAACATAGGCCCTAATTTAGCTAAAAAGATACTGGAATCAGTAGTTTCTCATTGTTCTTATCTCAATCAGAACTCCCCCAACTCCATATATTTTAATGCTGCAAAAACACAAGAAATATCTGAAATAGTTAATTTGTTGCATCCGGGCACAGCGGCAGGCTATGAAAGATCCCAATGTTTGCTGTTAAAGATTGTATTGACCTCATTTCTGAACCTTTAACTCATATAATCAATCTTTCTATTTCAACTGGTGTTGTCCCGGATAAGATGAAAATTGCTTGTGTCATACCGTTAATTAAATCTGGTGATCATAGACATTTCCAAAACTATAGACCTATTTTTTCCAAATTGTTGGAAAGAATTGTATATAATCGCATAATAAATTATGTTGACAAATTTGACATTATATCTGACCATCAGTACAGCTTTAGAAAAAATCACTCAACTTCACAAACGTTATTGCAATTGTATAACAAAATTTCCACAGCAATCGATCGGAAAGAATTCACAGTTGGTATATTTCTAGACTTGACACCGTGAATCATGACATTTTGTTTGATAAACTTGAACACTATGGTATCAGAGGAGTGGCTCTTGACTGGATGAAAAACTATTTTCATAATTGATTACAATTCGTTCAGTATAATGACACATTATCAACCTTTAAATCTATTTGGTGTGGAGTACCGCAAGGTTGTATCCTTGGTCCACTTCTTTTTTTATTATTTTTCAATGATCCATGTGATGTTACAAATGTACTTGAATTTATTCTGTTTGCTGATGACACTAATCTATTTTATTCCCATAAAAACCAATCTTCCTTAGCTAATGTAATTAATCGTGAAATTGATAAGGGTAAATAAATTATCAATAAAGATAAAGAAATCTAACTATATGCTATTTAAACCCAGACAAAAAAGATTAAACATTGAGTTACCTATATCATTAAATGGTGACAAAATTGATATGGTTAAAGAGATTGTATTCTTAAGCGGTTTTTCACTAGGCGGAATTTTGCGTGCGGAGCGGACTTTTCTTTGTCTTGTGATTTCTCGGGTGGAACTAATTAGAAAAACCAAAGAAAAATTCCGCTCCACGTGCAAAATTCCGCCTAATGGAAAACCGGCTTTAGGCATTATCCTTGATTGAGCATATATCTTGGAAGCCCCCCATCTCACATGTAGCCAGGAAAATATCCAAATCAATAGGTATGATATACAGGGTGTATCAAAATAAACGCAATTCATCTTTTATGCTTAATAACTTTCGAAATACTATTTCTAGTTAAACGCTTTTAGGCTTACTTCAAAGCCTGTTCTTTTCTCTTTCAAACAAACTATTATCCTTGTCTCCAATGCTAGTAATAATTGCACAGGAAAAGATTTAGTAAAACCTATCATTTTTAGTTGCTGTTTAATTATGCAAGTTTACTATGTTATTGTTTAGTCGGTTTAAATGTTAGAATTTTCTTCTTTAAACTTTAATGTTGTCGTCACTACATCTGGAAAACCACGTAAGAACAAATTAAAAGTATTTTAAAAGAGACCAGGTTGTTTGAAAATCCTAAACGAATGCTAAAAATCGTCAAAACATTCTGGTGTCTGAGCCAGAGAGTCATCGAATTGCGATGTAATGTAAACAGAAATTATAGCAAGTTGATGTCAGTCAGCTTAGATGGTCCAAGCCAAAATTATATCGCATTTGAAGTTTCAAACTGAGTTAAAAATAGTGGAAGAAAAGCCGTAATTATACTTATTGTTACAATCCATTTAATAAAATGCAACATTTTTTTGTTTTAATGAAAAAATCAGTTATTTTCATGAGAACGATCTGTTATTCCATCTCGATTTTGTTAATCTCCAATCGCAATAACGTAAAGTATTATTACCCGCGAAACAATGAGTCAAATTTAAGAAACAACCCACTGTTAGAAAGCTGAATGGCTACACTTTAAAATGAATGTAAACTTTAACGTTTTCCTCAGGTGCATTAATGCCTGGCTCCAATTTCATAAGGAGTGGGAAAATATGAAAAATCTTTAAAAATTAATTAAAAATAAACAAAGTACACTATGACCCTCATTTTTGGATGAGATGTTGGAAATAAACTGCCGATATTTTTCAACTATTTGGTTTCTATGGAGACTGGTCATGTGACAAGATATAGGCGGTTATAATGAAAATTAACTTAATGTTCCAAAACACGGCTTGTGGATATGTACAAAAATATTATCACGGAACCTTTTACTCATATACTGCAATGTACTAATTAGAAACTTAAAGATTATGCCACAGATATGTAAATGTTGCTGTGAATACAACAATGTCTCGCACAATGTCAATATAATTTGCACTAAAACGATCGTTCCAGATTACAATGCTTACAAGTCTAATTGTAGGACCAAAGTTAGCTGTACTCTGGACAAAATCTACTTATTAACGACCCATATTAACATTGTCTTATGTGCCCGCAAGTCCAACGCGTTTTTCGTGTGATGAATTTGCGCACGCCATGATCATTATTATAATATAGGCCCCTGCCGTGAAACAAAATATTATGAAATACAAATATAGAAATATTATATAATGACTAACAAACCATTTGCAACTAGTAAGTAGTGCATTCAAATAATATGTGAGGAAGAGAGAGAATAATATATACAGAAGTACAATATGATAAGTATACATATCTTCGTTTATATATTGAGGAGAATATTCGTCTTATTCGACACTTGTCTGAGTCTTTATATGAAAGGATATTATATTTCAAGAACAACATTTATTGCACACTTAAACATCGCCACCCCAAAAAAGTTTGAACCATCCATATGCTGGGTTATTTGTATTTCAAATATTTTTCTGCGCGTGGGAAACTAAAACGGATACACAAATCGATGTTGAATAATTCAGACCCGATGTTGAATAATTTATAAACCCGCAATAGGGAGCTTTATATTATATTATATATCAAAGTTCAAAGGTCGCCGCATATCGCATATGATATATTATACTATACAACAGCCAATTTTAGAAGAAAAACGAATAGTTTACTCATCCCTGCTAGTTGCTATAGTCTAACATAATCCTACAGCTCATATTTATTGAATTTCAGTTTCATTCGAATGCTAAAACGCACTCAAATGACAAAACGCTAGATATGTTCAATCGCGCGCAACTCGCGCGGATATATCAAGTTAAGCGTGGGCAGAGCAAATGAATCGTGTGATGAATTCGCGCACGCCATGATCATTATTATAATATAGGCCCCTGCCGTGAAACAAAATATTATGAAATACAAATATAGAAATATTATATAATGACTAACAAACCATTTGCAACTAGTAAGTAGTGCATTCAAATAATATGCGCGAGGAAGAGAGAGAATAATATATACAGAAGTACAATATGATAAGTATACATATCTTCGTTTATATATTGAGGAGAATATTCGTCTTATTCGACACTTGTCTGAGTCTTTATATGAAAGGATATTATATTTCAACAACAACATTTATTGCACACTTAAACATCGCCACCCCAAAAAAGTTTGAACCATCCATATGCTGGGTTATTTGTATTTCAAATATTTTTCTGCGCGTGGGAAACTAAAACGGATACACAAATCGATGTTGAATAATTCAGACCCGATGTTGAATAATTTATAAACCCGCAATAGGGAGCTTTATATTATATTATATATCAAAGTTCAAAGGTCGCCGCATATCGCATATGATATATTATACTATACAACGGCCAATTTTAGACGAAAAACAAATAGTTTACTCATCCCTGCTAGTTGCTATAGTCTAACATAATCCTACAGCTCATATTTATTGAATTTCAGTTTCATTCGAATGCTAAAACGCACTCAAATGACAAAACGCTAGATATGTTCAATCGCGCGCAACTCGCGCGGATATATCAAGTTAAG